CTACGTCACGAACATTCTACGTTGCTAAGACGCACACCACTGTACCACGTATTTCTATGGGCTTTGTGTGCGCTGCTGTGGAACGCCGGTCGAGCCGGTGAAAACTCGAGAAAACAACCAAACTCAACTTTGAAGTAATCCTGAACAACCAAATTCATATATGTTACACACGTAGGGCTAATCTTGTTGCACTGTTCAGGGACTTTCAACGACCATCGCAAAGTACCGTTTTCTGTGAGTTTTTGGTCTTTGTTTTCACCGCGAGGGTTGCCAGGCGGTAGAAAATGCCCGGATGTCTGCCCCCCGAGGATAGGCAATTGAGTGCTTGTGTTAAACACTTACACTATATCATCATATTCTTGTGAGTAAACATCCTGGGATTTTCATCACATGGCAAAATAACAATCGAAAACTCTTCTTGTTTGAGACACTCTTGAAGAATGTAACAAAACTACCCCTATATATGCAACATATAGAAATTTGGTTGCCTGGATTACTTGAGAGTAGTTCTTGATATTAGTTGTTTTCACCAGCTCTTTGACCTGCATTCCACAGCAGCTTCCACAGAGCCCATAGAAATACATGGTACAGTGGTGTACATCTTAGCAACATGAAATGTTCTTTGACGTAGCTACGCCCCCAAGAATAACGATCTATTTATTGCTGATCGTATAATTTTAGTCTTTATGTAAACGTTTTAATTAATGATACATCCTTGGTAAATAATGATAGCTTTTTACATAGAAACTTATACACAGCTAAAAATGATATGAAACATACTTCAAAATTCAGAATCGCACTCTTATATATCATAAATGCATTTGTAAATTTATAGCCGTTCTGAGAATTATTCGAACATTCAGTTAGCAAAATGACTTGCAACTTTGCAAAACACTTCACACATCATTTTTTGTCCAATCTTACATTGACACATGCACAGTTTAGATCATGCCATTAATCATATGAGATAAGGGCAAATGCCAAAATGTTTTCAAAGTTGCGAGCCATCTTGCTAACTGACTGTGCTAATAATTCTCCGAATGCTTGTAATTGATTTTGAACTTTTCTTTTCACATGGTTTTATACTTTCAGAAATTGTCCAACTATTGTGTTCGTGCGATGTCGAAATTTTTGATGGTTGGCATGGTTACCCAGTAAGTGTAATTCTTCTACATTTTTTCCAGTTGATTTTGTAATACACTTCACTGAAAGCTACTGTAAAATAACTAATTTTCACTGGGTTTAAATTTTGCTGATTTACCATTTCAGGCATATTCAGTGGGTTTTAAATTCAGGATTTTATCATTTAGATAATGTGCTCTATGCTAAATTTTACATATTCACTGGGTTATAATTTAGCGCATTTTCCAGTAGGCAAAATAAGCTAAATTAAAACCCAGTGAATAATTAACCCTTTTACAGTATCCTCTCTTTCCACAATTGAACGTATTCACATTTACAATGCTATTACTTGTCTATATGCTGTTTTTGAATACATCTCAATAATGGCTTTTTGGATTTGCCAAATAAAAATCAAACGATGACCAACTTTTTCTTGCAGTATAATTCACTCTAGTGGCACTTAATTATTACAGTTTAGAAAACAAATTTTTTTTTTACTCGAGGCCAGTAACATCAATTGTCTTCTAAAAACCATTCTCTGTATAAGATGAGTTTGTCTTTCCAAAGTCTACATTGCATAATACTGTAAAATACTTTATCTTCGCTTGGAATTTATTTTCGCTGAAGGGATGATTCCGTGAAAATAAAATCCAGCGAATATACTTTTTTTCCTATATTTCACATTAAACTCATCAGAAATCAGTGAAAATAAATTCCATACAAAATGCCCAAAAAGCCTTTTCAGCGAAAATTAATTCCGGCAAAAATAAAGTATTCCACAGTAATTTTTCTATGTTTTCACCTTATATGTCATCCCAAAGATTGAAAAAAAATATCAGTATGGGATAATCACTTTAAAAAATAGTTGTTTGAGTATTTGAAATCAACTTTTTTTGGAGATTTAGAGAAGTAGAAAAAATGCTGTAACTGCTCAGGAAATGCTAAAAACCTATCCTTGCAGATTTTTCAAAAAAAGAAGAAGGAAACCAACTGTTTAACCACTGAGGGCAATATTTTAGTGACTTGTACTTTAAAAAATGTCACCTACATTTCTGTTTTTGCTTCACTCACCCTATTTTTTGACCATTTTTTTCTTTCATTTTGACAATATTTTGGCAGAAATCAGAAAGAAAAATTTGTGAGCGGATCCTTTATAATAATAATATTATCTTTATTGCATCCTTAGAAATAACATTTTCTATCGGTTAATAGCAATAAAATTAATGTAATAGTAAAAGGGAGAAAGTCAGTATTACAAATCAAGAGAATGCTCATTTCATCCTTTTGAACTAATGCTTATGATGACCAGAAATGTATTCATATACACATGTTCATATAGGTGATTGTTCATCTCCGTCGTTCGTCAACAATTAAATTGTCATATTATTGAAAACTACCAGCACTATTGCTTTGATACTTTGTACGTGGTGTCCATAGGTTGACCTCCATGAGATTTGTATCAAGATGGCAACAATTACCGGGTATAATTACCATGGCAACTACCACAGAAACTATACCATGGTTGTAATATGTTAGAACATTGTGGGAACACTTATAACCATGGAAAATAGTTAATAATATCTCATCCTGCAGAACATTTCCAACTTTATTTTGAGGAAGACACTCTACAAAAACGGCGGAGCTGTTTTAACCCTTGATTCATTTGTTTAATTTATCCTCAACTGATTTACTTCCTTACCTTTTAATCCCCAAATTTTTTCCTGCTTAAAATGATATAAATTTATGTATAAATTTTCACTGAATTCAATATTAATTTTGTACAATTTGCTTTCAGTTTTTGATCAAAACAATTGAAATTTTCGTAAACATTTTTCGTTGAAAAAATCAGACTGTAAATTGAGAGTTAAATAGTTTACAAGCATTTGTTTGTTGTTTATATTTGTCAGAATATTCATAGCAATGAAATCATCCATACCATAGGTGAAATCGCTACAGCTGGGGTGGAAATATTAAAGGTGAGCATCAGAATGTATTATTTTTGTTTTCATTCATGGTATTATTATATACACCTCTATTTGTGTCTAATGTCAGAAATGTTCATAGTGTTTCCACTGACTTTTTATGGCTATATGGTCAAAACTACATTGTATCTTGATTGTCTATTTTTAGCTCCGCTGTCGACTTTGTCGAGCGGAGCTTATCATATGAGTGATTGTCCGTCGTCGTCGTCCGTCGTCGTCATCCGTGTCAATGTTTTACTTTTTCGACTTCTTCTTGAAAACTACAAGCCTGAATGCTT